TTTTTGTTTTTTTTTACTATACTGTACTTCAAAACACCATTAAATACGACATATTTACACTTTGGTCGCCTCTGGTTGTTTTAAAATGTGCTGTTTAGTGAAACCTGATTAGATTTTGATGTTTTCTGTCCAACACGTGACTCTTCGTCTGTCAGTCCAACAAACATAAAGCGTTTTAGCATCAAGCAGCTGCAGACTTTGTTCAGGAGCTTCAGCTGGAATAAATCCAACACGGAGTCGAGATGCAGCCCAAATAAAGGAGATGAGAGCGACTGATAAACAGTTTGTTGGCTTCGCTGTAAATGAGGCCTGAAGATGATGTCGTTTGGTTTCCAGCGAGGCGGCTGTGAGCGACCGAGCTCAGAGAGAGAGAGAGAGGAAGTAAAGAGGAAGTTGAACTCCTCCTCACGACAGAAGAGCCGAAGCCCTCCGAGCTGCTCCTCAGACGAGTCCGAGCAGCTGGAGGCGGCCGAGGAAACATCTGGATGGGAGTCTGACTGCACAGCTGGATGCTCGACCGGTGAGTCCAGGCTGGTTTTATCTTATGTGACTTCTATTTAACCAGGCAGACAGATGAACCCTGTCCAGGACTTTGGGGTCTTTTGGACTCAGACCATCCGGTTTAGGTGACAGGTGTTGTTCTTTTAAATACAAAAGAGGACATTCGTCATGCATTTGGAACCAAAGATCTGAAAAACTGATCAGAAAACTAATTGAACATAAATGTCTATAATGAATACTAACATGTATTTGGCACATATTCTTTCTACCGTCTGCGTCTGGCAACATAAAAGTCCTGAACAGGGTCGAGATCAACGCTCTTATTTTCATCTGTGGCCTGTTTGAGCTGCTGGTACAAAGACAGAAACGTTTAAATAGCACGAAAAGATGAAGCGAGAGAGACGAGAAATACTTTGGTTTCCACTGAGTGACAGGAGACTTAAAAGAGGAATAAAAGCAGATCATGAGGAAGTCATAACATCGATCAATAAACTGATATTTATCAGAACAAAGTTCATGAACATTAACGTTCTTTCTGCACATGAACGAATGTAAAGAGTTCAAACAACAAAAAGAAAAAACTCAATAAAATCACACAATTAAATAAAAAAAGATTAAAAAATAAAGAGTAAAGAAGCCAAACTTTAGGTTTTCTTGATCGAATCACTCAAAATGTGTTTTATTTTGTTCAAATTATGATTCAAAGAGTTAAAAAAGTGAAATCTAAAGTCAAAGTGATGATTTAAAAAGTGAATAAATGTGACAGAAAGCACAACTTCTGCCTTTGTGGCCTTTTTTTTTTTTTAAAGTGGGAGGAAAAATTATAGAATTTAAAAAAAAGCAAAATTGTGATTTAAGACAGTGAAGGACAGAAAAATGTAAATTATGATGAATGTGATCAATAGCTGATGTTCTAACTCATATTTTATACATTTTTCATCAATTATTTGGACTTTTTTTACATTTAATTTGACTTTTCAATCAATAATTTTGACATTTTAATGCAGAATTTTGTGGTTTGATTCACTGACTTCATGTTTTTTATGTTTTGTTTTTATTTTTATGATGACTTAGAAGGAAAGTTATGAGACTGAAAAACTGCAAATTTAAAACGTTACCAAGTCAAGATAGAAAGCCAAAATTAAAAAACTTAAGAAAGTACGATCGAATGTCACAATTCTGTTTTTTTAAAAAAAGCCTAAAAACGTGAGACGAAAAATCAAGATTATAATTGAAGAAGTGAAAAAATATCTGATTAAATGTGAGAAAGAATTCAGGAACCCTCAAAACAACAAAGTGAGATGAGCTTAAATCATAAAACACAAACACCACACCAACATTTGCATAACGACAGAGTGGAAAAAGGAAAAAGAGAAGCTGGACGAGATAAACAGGAGATAAAAACACACCAGACAATAAAAACTGCTTCCCGACTTGTTCAAGCTGATTCTCCACGACTGACCTGCAGCCAGAGTTTCCTCAGAAGAGACGGAGAGGAAAATAAAACCTCCTGGAATCAGTAAATAAAGGCAGAAAGAAACAGAACCAGTGAACAGGAGGAGCCAGTTGTGGGAGAAAGAAAGAAAAATGACATCAACTACAACCAGAAAGACTGAAATCGACCACGAAGAGACACAAAAAACACAAAGAGACACAAATTAACCAGAAAGAGACACAAATAAACCACAAAGAGACACAACCCCCCTCACAGAGACTCTTTTCTTTACTTCTAGATGTGGTCGTGAAGTTTCTAATCAGGAGCAGAAGTTCATAGTTTAGTCAGAACCACCTGGAAGCAGCGTCCAGCCTCCTGGACATTGAACCACTGGACTCGTTTCTTTGCTGTTCAGGGACAGAAAACGCTTCATGAGTATAATTAGTGAAACTGAGCCGAGTCCTGCAGTAAAGGTCTGAGCTGTAAAGCGGAGCGTCGTCGGCGTACGCGTCGACCAGACGTCACCGTTAACGCGATGCAGATTTAAAGCCACCGGCAGTAACCCCGAGTCCGTTTCCAGTGAATCCACTTCCTCCAGTGAGTTGACACCTAGAACTCATCCCGCAGCCACTTCCTTCGCCAGCTCATCTGGCGAAAGCAGAAGCTGCTGACTTTCTGCTTTAATGCCAGCTCAGCGTCCTTCATCGGCATCCCGGCTGCAGTGTGTGGAAGTGAGACGCTGCTAGTTTCAGGATGCATCAGCTGGGTAAGAAGGTCGACAGAAACCGAAACGCTGCTCCGAAGGCTCCAGGAGCAGATTAATCATCAGCAGGTTCAGGTTGTGTTCTGCAGATAAATGCTGAATTGAAACCAAAGTGTGGAGAAAAATCAGTAATTTCTGTCACTGCTAAGAGCTTCAGGAGATGAAACTGGACTGTTTCTGGGTTCTAAAGACGTTTCCTCTTCATCCAGGAGGTTTCCTGAAGTCAGACTGACCGGTGGAGTGTTCCAGCCTCCACGTTATGAGGCTGAACATGACCACGGAGACACAAAACAACCACAAAAAAACCCTCAAAACTAAACAATGAGACAAAAATCACCAATAACGAGACATAAGTTCAGCAACTAGTCAAAAATCCTCTAAAAAAAGCACAACTTAAGTAGAACAAAGGGACGAAAATGGATTACAGAGACGAAGAAACGCTCACAAAGAGACAGAAATTAACCCCGAAAAGAATCAAAACTACCACAGACTGAAATTAACCAAATAGACACTCAAAACGACAAGAAAAAGACTGAAATCGATTAAAACAAAGATACAAAACAACTACAAAAAACCCTCAGAACTAAACAATGAGACAAAATGATCACAAAAAGACTCAAATTGACTCAAAGACACTGAAAATAAAGCAAAAAGACAAAAATGAACCATGAGGAGACACCAATTAACTGCAAAGAGACGAATAACGACCACAAAGAGACTGAAACTGACCAAACAAAGACACAAAATGTCTGCAAAGAGACACCAAACAACCACAGACATCCATCATCATGAGTTCTCCTCCTTCATGTCGTTCTGGTTCCACTGAGCTGCAGGACTTCATGTTTTAGTGAAACAGTTTCAAATCAGCTGATTGAGGATCGTTGTTTGTTTAAACCGAATGAGGAAGCAGTCAGCTGGGTTTGAACCTGGATCAGATTCTGAGCTCTAGTCTCATAAACATCCTCAGCAGGAGGATGAGCAGCAGCAGATTCAGATCTACAAGAGAAACTCGCTGAGCTCTGAATCAGCTTCCAGAGAACTCACCTCCTCCACGCTCAGCGGTGACGCACGGCAATTTGATTAACAAATGTTTTTGTCACGCAGCTACGAGTCCGCCGGGAATTCAGTGACGACATCTGGTGACTGCAGCGGAGTTCCAGGTATTACAGGTGAGTCACAATACCCACAATGCACGACTACAGGAGCACGCAAAGGCTCAACATGACACGGAAACAAAAACAAAACACAAAGAGACACAAAATGACCACAGAGGCTCAAAATAAAACAAAGTCAAAACATTTAAATAAAAAACACACAAAACAACTACAAACACATTTACAACGACCACGAAGAGACGCAAAACAACGACGAAGAATCAAAAAAACAACTGAAAAGAGACTCAAAATGTAAGAAAGAGACAAAAATGAAACACAAAGGGACATAAAACTAAACAAAGAGACTCGAAACAACCACAAACAGACACTACAAAGAGAACAAAACACAGCAAATGTTGTGCAAGCTGTGCAGCATCAGTTACCATGGAGATCTAGCTCTTCAGCATCCGTTACCATGGTGATCTAGCTCTTCAGCATCCGTTACCATGGAGATCTAGCTCTTCAGCATCAGTTACCATGGAGATCTATCCGGATTAAAACAGACCCACCTCTATGCTGCTCAAAACTCAACATACCTGCGAACACATTCATCTCTGTGTCGGTATTACGGTCCTCTGAAAGAGACAACGACCAAAACAAAGACTCAAAGACACGCAAACTGACCCTAAAGACACACCAATGAAATCTAAAGCCAAACAACACAAAAGAAAGAGACACAAATCAACCGCAAACAGATACAGACTGACCGCAAAGACACACAAAACTCTGAAACAGCGTCTCGTGAGTGTAAACGAGTTGTCACAGACAGATGACGGTTTACTTCACACCACAGACTGATGGCCGAAGCTCAGAGCACAACATATGACAACGCGGTGTGTCTCAGCTGTGATACCGCAAGAAAACAACACGTTTACGACGACAGCTGAGGTTCGTGCTGAGGGTAGAGAGTGTGAGACTTGGACAGCAGCCTTGTTCTCACCACTGAACAATAGTTTAAGACTTCTGTTCCCATTTCTGTGGCTCTGAGACAAAGTTCACCTACAAATTACGACACTTCTGGGTGTTTAACGCCTTCTTAAAAAGAGTCGACGACAGAGATATGAAGGAAACGAGGTGAGACTGAAACGCTGGATGGTTTCGGTTTATGTTTATTATCTAAAAAGAAACACGAGACAACATCAAAGAGACTCAGAAGGACCAAAAAAGAGACGCAAACAACAAAAAAAACACACAAAATGACCACAATAAGACCACAAACGACCCCAGAGACATAAAACAATGACAAAGACGCTCAAACCCGCAACGAAGACACACAAAAAGGCCAGAAAGGGACTCAAAGTTAATACAAATGGACACAAAATGACGACAAAGAGACACAAAACAACCAGAAAACATGTCTCTGAGTGTATCTCCTTCTTCATTCTGTGTCTGTAGAGAAGCAGGACTTTATATTATAATAAAAAATGAGCCACAGTGAGTAAAAATGAGCTTGGAGGACACAAAACAGCCAGAAACAGCTGCTCAGCGTTCACAGAGTTAAAACTTCTCTCCTCCAAGTTAACATTCGGACAGCGGCGCTCTGACTCGGCTGCACACTTGTTTATGGTTTTTAGAAAGTGCTCGGTCACCGGCAGGAATTAGGTTTATCTGCTGGAAGCCACGTAATGAGAAAGTGGTTTTCTATTCTGGAGAATCTGTCACGTACAACAGCTGCTTCATGTGAAGTCGAGACCTCCGAGTAAACACAGGAAGTCCCCGAATGAGAGATCGTCCTCCCGATATTCACTGTTTCTGAGTGAGAAGCAGAAAGTGATCGATGCAATCTCATTAACGTCGGTGACGGAGGATCAGCAATAATGTGGCAGCAGCAGGAAGAGACACAGTAAAAACCGGAGTTAAAGATGTCACGCTGGGGTCTGGCCGGGCGTCGTCCTTCTACAGACGCAAACACACCACAAAGACACACAAAATACCAACAAGACACTCAAAACAAAGACTGAAAATGACTAAGAAGGGACACGGAACAAACAAAAGAGACACAAAATGACAACAAAGAGACTCAGAACAAGCACAGAGAGAAACAAAACAGGCACGAAGACTCAAAATGACCTAAAAAAAAACTTAAACTGAGAACAAAAAGACACAAATCAACAGCAAAGAGAAGCAAAATGCCTGAAAACGCCACGAAAAAACTCAAATCAACACAAAGAGACACAAAACAACTGCAAACAAAACACAAAAAGACACAACGAGACCAAAAACTTCCAAAAAGAGACACAAAATGACGACGCTGACTCAAAAACACAACAAGGCTAAAAACTACCACAGAGACTTAAATGACCTCAAAGAGACTCAAGACAAAGACACAAAACGACCAATAAGACACTCAGATCGACCACAAATCACACTGAGCACAAAGAGACTCAAACTGAAATGACACTAGACCGTCCACTGTGCAGCAGCCAGCGGATCCAAACGGGTCTAATAATAGAACCGGAGCCGTCCACCGTCTGCTGTCGAAGCTGGACAGAGAGGCGGCTCCAGTGAGTGTTGGACGGCGATGAGTCGGCCGTCGGAGGGAAGTGTGCGTCCTCACAGCAGGGTGTGTGTTTGTGCACGTGTCCAGAGTAAACACAGCGCTGCGTGTTCACAAACACAAAAGGCCGCGACGGCAGGCGGAAGCTGCTTCTTTGTTCACATGCGAATAAAACAAACCTGAAGCTGGACGTAAAGGAGAAGGAGACGACGGACAGGAGTTTGTCCAGAGCAAAGCTCAGGACAAAGGTGGCGTTAAAAAGAGACTTAAAGTGACCACAGAGACACTCCAGTCAGCGACAAAGACACAAAACAACTAAAAAAACACTCAGACTGTTGGTTAGAGGCCCAAAGTGACCA